CCCCCCCCCCCCCCCCGTGAGGTGTGAGCCGGTCCCCTCCCTGACCAGTCCAGCCTAGCGCCGACGGGCCTGGTCTGAGCCTGGGTCCCTGCGCGCTTCCAATAGACGTGATTACCCTGGTCGGTCCCAGTCCCGTATCCCGCCCGCCGCAGGGTGCAGCTTCGGGGAAAGGTGCCAGGAATTTAGCAGGCCTGGGATAATCTGCGCCCGGAAAAGGTTCTTCCTGACAACCCCCTGTCCCCTGTTGAGAGCTCGGGTTCTGCCATAAGACCTGTAGCTCTGTGTCCCTGCCAGAACTCTTGTTGGTTCTCCTTAAGGTTCGCTGTTAGACGTCTGGATATTCTTGTCTTCTGCGCAGCAACCTATTTAAAGTCAGACCTTTTTTAATCTCCCTTCTGTCACACTAATACTGTAACCTTGGTGCAGCTCTTAATCTCTTGATGTTTGAGTGCTTTCTGTGGTGGGGTTAGGGTAATGTATAAATTTTGACAGGTGGCCTCTTGAAATCTTCCCCCCTCCTTAATGAACGGGGCTGGTAAAATGTGACTGCAATTCGTTGGCTAGTAAAGTTTAAAAGAAATATACAGAATTGTGTTTTACCACATATAAATACAGAACTTAGCTGCACCAAATGCTGTAGGTTTTCTCAGGAATTTAATGTTGAGGGTTAGATAACTTTCAGTTAAAATACTAAACGTATTTAGTAGCAAGCAAACAGTTGAACATTTTACCTCTTTATAAGCGGTGAGTCATCCTTGCAATTGTCACTAAATCACATGGCTCAAGTGGGTATTTATTGTAAATGACTAATAGTTTTGGAGTAATAGTATTTATAAAATAGAGAAGTTAGAGGTTTTTTCCCTCATTTGAAATTATGGCCTATCTGGATGCTCAGGAAACAATAAACCAGAATGTGTGTTGTTTTCAACCTGTTTTTCCTCTTCCTCCCCCAATCCTCCATTCTTGATTACTGGAATTCTAATAGGACTCTGACATTAGTATTAAGGAAGATGAATTACAAGTATGCTGAAGAGAAACCTTGCCCAATTCCCCATCTGCATATGATTTTCCATTTCTCTTCCATAGACAAAAGAAACATCACAGTGCCACAATTTGTTGTTACAAAACGGACCGTTTGAAAGGAAACTGAAGTGCCCGGGCCTATTAAATACATTGATAAATTGCTTATGATTTAACAAATACACTTAAGCAACAAATAGTCTTGCAGCATCTTGGAGACTAACGAAAAATGTAGATGCCTATGATATCAACTACATTTTTTGTTAGTTTTTAATGTGCTGCAAGACTATTTGTTTTTTAAGTTTATTCAGTTACAGACCAATACAGCTACCCCTCAGAAACACTTGCTTATGATTTGTAAGGAGTACTGCCATCCTTGAATCTGTTCCATTTCATAATTGTTATAAGTAGTTTTTTATGCTTATACCTACCTTCATAATCTCCTAGCAAATGTTTGTAGCTTAGTCACATGTTCCCTTGTTTTTGTAATGTTTCTGGGTCTATGAAATCTCTCACTAGAAGTGTGAAAATGAGGGGCTTTTTCTTCCAAGTTGACCATGTGGATTGGATCTGGCAGGGTCTGGGCTGCACAGGTCATCTTTCAGGATTGGTGTTTAAGTGCTATCAAATGGGCAAAATAAACAAGAATAGTGAAAATACTTCTAATCTTTCAGATATTAGAGCTGATCTCAGCCCTTAAAATCTTTATTACTTGCAGTAACAATGGATTAATATCATATAGTGTGTTGGCCTCTTGAAAGGTTTTAAGATATGAATGAGATATCTTAAGACCCCATTCTGGAAATAAATAGTCCCATTTAACTTAATTATGCTCACATGATGACAGTTGCTTAATGTAGGGGTTCTCAAATTTTGTGACACCATGACCCCCTAAAATGCTAAATGAATTTGGGGGGGAAACCCCTCCCCCCCCGCCCACCCTCACTGCCCGGGGTCTCTTCCTCCCCCCTTCTCACCAGACTCCTTGCCCTCCTGGGGTTCCTTTAAGGCATTTGCGGTCCTCAACGCCCTTCCCCCCTGCAGGCCCCTTCCCCCATCTCTTTCTCCTCTGTGCTTCTTTTCCGCTCCGCATCCCTTTGGTTCCTTTCCTCTCCTCTGACCCCCATGTGCCCTTATTTACCTTCAGGTCCTCTGCCCTGACCCAATCCCCCAGCCAGTTGCCTGAGGGACCTCGCCCTCTCCCAGCTGGGGAAGAGTTCAGTCACCTAGCAACTATGCCCTGGCCTGCCCCTTGCGCATCTGCTCCTGCGCTGGCCTCGCTCTCCCACCGCCTTGCCTCCTACTGCAGCTGAGCCGTGCTCCAGGAGTCCTGCGGCCCTGGCTACACTGTGCGGCTTGCCAGCGGCTGCCTTACACTGCCCTGCCTCTCTTCGTGGCCCGGGCGAGAGGGGTCACAAGTGAAAAAACGAATCCAGCTGCGACCCCCCTGGGGGTCACAACCCACAGTTTGAGAAATGATGGCTTAATGTGTAATTGCAGGCATGGACTCTATTTGTACATACATCTTTTTAAATAAAATAAACTCTGATCACATAATGCACAACTAAAAATATTAACTGTTCTAGTAATTGGTTCTCTTCATGCTCTGTAGTTTTCAGTACTAGCATACATAAGTGAACTTGGTTCACTTGATTTGTGGTAATGAGGAAAATGTGAAAGAATATTTGTTTTCTCTTTTTCAATGCAAGGTACTGGCAGAGGAGGATGGGGTGGCCATAACCAGAGATACACCAGTGTTGTCCAACCTTCTAACTTCTCTAAACCCTCTACGTGGGGTGGCAGCAGAAATGATGGAAAGGCTTTTTTTGGATCCTCTGACTATGGAGCACCAGGCAGTGGCAATAAAAGTTCAGGATTTTCTCAAAACAGATTCTCTGCATTAAATTCTGAGCAAAATATTGTCAGTGACTACAGAGATGAAGAAGAGAAGCTTCTGTAAGTCCTTGTTCTGTGATTATCTAGAAGGAATTTAGGTAAATTTTACAAGTGTAAATTTGTATGGAGACACTTGAGTATATTATGTAACTTCCTTATAATGCCAGTTTGAAGAGATTTCTAATGTCTAAATATTTACATTATAATTTGTTAATATGAACATCTTCATTGGGAGGTAATGAAGTGTATGTGTAGTAAAATTAATTGTCATAGGAATTTAAAATGCACACAGACAACCTTTATTAATTGAAATTGTTGTTTTTAATAATTTTGCATTCATCTTTAAAGTGATCTGCAAAAGGGGAAAAACTGGGCTTTTTTTCCTTTCTCTTTCTACTCTACAAAGCAAGCCTGGGAGGTTTGGGGAAACTTTTCATTTTAAAAAAAAAAAAAAAAAAAAAAACCCTGCTGTTTAACCAAAAAGTGTCAGGTCTTGGCTATTGGATGACTGGAGTACTGTTGTGATATAAAAATCCTAAGTATTAAGGAATTGAGGTACTAGTTGAGGCCAAAAGTGGCTTTCATTCACCCTCTAGTTAAATAGGTGTTGTGAAAGAGTTTTAATGTTCCTAGATTTAAGGGAAAACTTCCTCTAAGACTTTGGTGCAAGACTTGCAGAGGAAGAAGTTGCAATCTATGTCTACATTCCATTGCAGGTTTATTTGTTAGAGCAGGATGAGGAAATTTTTACACCCCTTAAAATCCTTAGATTTTGGTATTTACTTGCATTCGTATGAGATTTAAAAATGTATCTTTAATAAAAGCAAATTTCTAACTTGCTGCAGTACAGTATTCTTGCTTTTTCTCTCTCCAGAGTTTCTTTAAATATTACACTTATTTTACTTCAGTTAATAGTCCCTTATCCCTATTTCATTACTTCTACCAGGGCTCGACAAATTAATGCAATCTACTAGCCTGTGGTGAGTAGATTGCAACCCGGAAGAGCCGCGTTTGGGCGATCTGCTCATGCGCAGATCGCTGGACAGCGCAGCTGGCGAGTGGGGCTCGCTGCAGTTCAGCGAGCCCTGACTTCTACAATATATGGATTTCTGTAGTCTCTAAAATTGAGATGTCTGTTTTTCATCTCGTCTGAAATCTTTCTGCTTTTTACTTTTTGCTGTTATACATATTATTAGCTTATTTTTGTAGAATTTTGTAACTTTCAAGGTTTCGCAAATGTTAATGCTGAGATTATGATTGCAGCCTACAGAGAAAATCATTTAACAGCATATTTGCCCTTCCTGCCTGTCTTTATCCAGCTTACTTAATTCATGATGCAATTTATATACTTTAACAAAATGTTTTAAAAGTGGCCATTTCTACATATCACATCACAATTGTTAACTGAGGGTCCAATTCTCCCAGTATTGCTCATGATAAAGAGTACCATACTTCAGTGTGCATAAACCATTATCTTCCACGGTTCATCTTTACTACTAGGATGGGAAAATATTTTGTCTGTTAAAGTCAGGGAGACTGCTAATGGAATACTATGCTGTGGAAGGTTAGGGAGTATATCAGAATGTGGCACTGCATTATTTTGAAATACCTTCTCTTGAGTAGAATAATTTGTTTTTATTCACACTTTTGATTTTGGTATAACTTTTTTTAGTGAAGGTATAATAAAAGACATGGAAGTATGGGAATCTTCAGGACAATGGATGTTCTCTTGTTATTCACCTATGAAAGAAAAGCCTAACATCTCAGGTAATAACTTCCTCAGTCTCAACTTATTACCAAGAATGTTTTTCTCAAGTTGTTGCATTATATTTTAAGGTCCAGAAGTGCCAGTTGCCTTGCAGAAATGCACAAGACTAAAGCTCTTCCTTCTAAAGAACTAAGGTTTCAAACCTTCCACTTGCTCCACCTATGTGGAGGTCATCCGAGATCTAGACTTGACTTGTCATGCAACAAAGAGGAAATGAGATTATGGACAAACTAGAAAAATGGTCTCAGGTAAATAGGATGAAGTTTAATAAGGACAAATGCACAGTACTCCATTTAGGAAAGAACAATCCATTTCATGCATACAGAATGAGAAGTGACAGTCTAGGAAGGAATACTACAGAAAGGGATCTAGGGGCTTTATAGACCACAAGGTAAACATGAGTCAAGTGTGACACTGTTATAGAATCATAGGACTGGAAGAGACCTCGAGAGGTCATCGAGTCCAGCCCCCTGCCCTCAAGGCAGGACCAAGCTCTGTCTACACCATCCCTGACAGATGTCTATCTAACCTGTTCTTAAATATCTCCAGAGTGGGAGATTCCACCACTTTCCTTTGCAGTTTATTCCAATATTTGACCACCCTAACAGTTAGGAATTTTTTCCTAATGTCCAATCTAAACCTCCCTTGCTGCACTTTAAGCCCATTACTCCTTGTCCTGTCCTCAGAAACCAAGAGGAACAAATTTTCTCCTTCCTCCTTGTGACACCCTTTTAGATATTTGAAAACCGCTATCATGTCCCCCCTTAATCTTCTTTTTTCCAAACTAAACAAGCCCAGTTCATGAAGCCTGGCTTCATAGGTCATGTTCTCTAAACCTTTAATCATCCTTGTCGCTCTTCTCTGTCCCCTTAACAAGCCCAGTTCATGAAGCCTGGCTTCATAGGTCATGTTCTCTAAACCTTTAATCATTCTTGTTGCTCTTCTCTGTACCCTTTCCAATTTCTCCACATCTTTCTTGAAATGTGGCGCCCAGAACTGGACACAGTACTCCAGCTGAGGCCTAACTAGTGCAGAGTAGAGCGGCAGAATGACTTCACGAGTTTTGCTTACAACACACCTGTTGATACAACCTAGAATCATATTTGCTTTTTTTGCAACAGCATCACACTGTTGACTCATATTCAACTTGTGGTCCACTATGACCCCTAGATCCCTTTCTGCCATGCTCCTTCCTAGACAGTCGCTTCCCATCTTGTATGTATGGAACTGATTGTTCCTTCCTAAGTGGAGCACTTTGCATTTCTCTTTATTAAACCTCATCCTGTTTACCTCTGACCATTTCTCTAACTTGCTAAGGTCATTTTGAATTATGTCCCTATCCTCCAAAGAAGTTGCAACCCCACCCAGTTTGGTATCATCTGCAAACTTAATAAGCGTACTCTCTATCCCAATATCTACATCATTGATGAAGATATTGAACAGTATGGGTCCCAAAACAGACCCTTGAGGAACTCCACTTGTTATCCCTTTCCAGCAGGATTTAGAACCGTTAACAACAACTCTCTGACTACGGTTATCCAGCCAATTATGCACCCACCTTATCGTGGCCCTATCTAAGTTATATTTGCCTAGTTTATCAATAAGAATATCATGCGAGACCGTATCAAATGCCTTACTAAAGTCTAGGTATATGACATCCACCGCTTCTCCCTTATCCACAAGGCTCGTTATCTTATCAAAGAAAGCTATCAGATTAGTTTGGCATGACTTGTTCTTCACAAACCCATGCTGGCTATTCCCTATCACTTTATTACCTTCCAAGTGTTTGCATATGATTTCCTTAATTACCTGCTCCATTATCTTCCCTGGGACAGACGTTAAACTGACCGGTCTGTAGTTTCCTGGGTTGTTCTTATTCCCCTTTTTATAGATGGGCACAATATTTGCCCTTTTCCAGTCTTCTGGAATCTCCCCTGTCTGCCATGATTTTTCAAAGATCATAGCTAAAGGCTCAGATACCTCCTCTATCAGCTCCTTGAGTATCCTGGGATGCATTTCATCAGGACCTGGTGACTTGCTGACATCTAACTTTCCTAAGTGATTTTTAACTTGTTCTTTGTGTATCCTATCTTCTAAACTTACCCTCTCTCTGCTTGTATTCACTACGTTAGGCACACCTCCAGACTTCTCGGTGAAGACCGAAACAAAGAAGTCATTGAGCATCTCCGCCATTTCCAAGTTTCCTGTTACTGCTTCTCCCTCCTCACTGAGCAGTGGGCCTACCCTGTCCTTGGTCTTCCTCTTGCTTTTAATGTATTTATAAAAGGTCTTCTTGTTTCCCTTTATGCCTGTAGCTAGTTTGATCTCATTTTGTGCCTTTGCCTTTCTAATCTTGCCCCTGCATTCCTGTGTTGCTTGCCTATATTCATCCTTTGTTATTTGTCCTAGTTTCCATTTTTTATATGACTCCTTTTTTATTTTGAGATTGTGCAAGATCTCCTTGTTAAGCCAAGCTGGTCTTTTGCCATATTTTCTATCTTTCCTACACAGCGGAATTGTTTGCTTTTGGGCCCTTAACAACGTCCCTTTGAAATACTTCCAACTCTCCTCAGTTGTTTTTCCCTTCAGTCTTGCTTCCCATGGGACCTTACCTACAAGTTCTCTGAGCTTATCAAAATCTGCCTTCCTGAAATCCATTACCTCAATTGTGCTGGTCTCCCTTCTACCTTTCCTTAAGATCATGAACTCTATTATTTTGTGATCACTGTCCCCTATACCGTCTTCCACTTTCAAGTTCTCAACTAGTTCCTCCCTATTTGTTAAAATAGGGAGCATAAACAAGCATGCCTCTGGGATGCATTAACAGGAGTGTTATGAGCAAGACATGAGAAGTCATTCTTCCACCTTATTCAATGCTAATTAGGCCTCGGAGTATTGTGACCCATTCTGGGAACCACATTTCAAGGAAGATGTAGAGAAATTGGAGAAGGTCCAGACAAGAGCAACAAAAATGATGAGAGGCTTAGAAAACATGAGCTTGGAGACTGAAAGAACTGGGCTTCTTTAGAAGAGAAAAGACTGAGAGGGAACATGATAGCAATTTTCAAGTACGTAAAAGGGTGTTACATGAAGGAGGGAGAACAATTTTTCTCCCTTGCTTCTTGTCCTATTATCAGAGGCCATGGGCTTATATTGCAGTAAGGGAGGTTTAGGTTGGACCTTAGGAAAAACTTCCTAACTGTCAAGGTGGTTAAACACTGGAAGAAATTGCCTAGTGAGGTTGTGGAATCTCTATCACTGGAGATATTTAAGGGCGGTTTGGATAGACGTCCATCAGAGATGATCTAGATGGTGCTTGGTCCTGCCATGGAGGGCAGGGGACTGGACAAAATGACCTCTCGAGGTCCCTTCCTGTTCTGTTTATGATTAAATGGTGCCTCATTTTTGGCATGTGTAAAATTGCAGTTATTACAGTAATGACCTCTTCATCTTTTTAAATGTAACTACAGGCAGTCCCCGAATTACGCAGATCCGACTTACGTCGGATCCGCAGTTACGAACGGGGCCATTCCTCTCCCTGGTCTCCAGCAGACCAGGGAGAGGAAGCAAAGCGGCGGAACACGTAGGCAGCGGACAGGGCTGTCCGCTGCCCACGCGCTCCGCGGCTTGGCTCTGCTTTGCCCCCCCCCCTCCCCCGTCCCCCTGGTCTGCAGCTGGCCA